TGTTTGGAATATAAAGAAAGTGTTAGACAGAACAATTGCGTAGTTAAGGCTATATAAATAAGTAACCTGTTTAGACGGAAGGGGTAAATAGGTAAAGGTCAAAGGGTCAAAAGGAGGGCACTTAACTGATAGATGTGATGATTCCAGGCGCTGCTGCTACAGCTGCAGAGACCTCTGTCACCTGTTTGTCGTGTTCACGTTCCTCTCTTGTAAAGGATGACCTCTGCATTCACTGGAAGTGACTTGTAAAATTGTTTTGTAGAATGTGGACGTTGAATCTTGACGAATCTAAGGCTGGGCGCGGCGCTGGGTTTGCTGACCGACCTGGCTAGCTTAGTCGTAGTTTCTTGTCCTTTAGTTAGTATGTTTGAAAATCTTGAGTAGCAATTTTTCTTAGGTATTATTGTACGATGATTTGATTGTTGATTGATGTGATTGTCCTGTCACGGTCGCCAATTAATGTCTCGTAGGGGACATTTGGAAGTTTAAAATTGTAAACCTCGGTTTTTTGATGTAAAAATCTTTTTATTTCTTGTGCTAATGTACAGTACAAAAAGGTCTGTGTTGGATCGCCTTGACATTCTTAACAATATATTAAAAGTAGAAAATAGTGGGTAGTGAGTAATACGACTATGATGCGTTCCGTTATAGACAAAGTCTATGCGCTTAGACAGTTAGTTATAACTACTATAGCAACTGCAACCTCAGTGCACCTACCTCACCTGATTTCTACACCTCCCAAAGGTTGGCTGGTAGAGAATGCCTCGGGCATTAATCCCGCCGTTGTACATAAGTGCATAAAGTTGTAAATAAATAAATTTGTAAATACAAAGAAATGGTATTGATATCTCTTATGAATCGGATATTGTAGCAATCGATTTCTTTTAACCCCTTCCTTATTCTTCTGTCAGAACTGTCAAACGGTACCTCTTAAATTATATGGACTATAAAGTGTATGTTTGTAGTGTCAATATAATAGGTTTTTTTCATGCTCACACGGTTATTTGCACGATACCTATTTCTAAAAACCAGTTTAAATATTTTTGTCTGACTGTTTGTGCCGGGTAATCTTCAAAATGGCTAGACCGATTTCGATAATATTTTACTACTAGGCAGCTGTCTATATAAGGAGCATCTTAGGCTATTTTTTTCTCTCAGAAAAACTCTATAAGGTTTTGCCCGGTTCGGGAATCGAACCCACTAAGGCAGCGCTTTTCAAATTCCACGCGTACGAAGTCGCAGGCACCAGCTAGCCTATATATATATACAAACGTTAAGTTAAACCCACTTTTATGCTGTATGTATGCTGTCGTATGCTTCAAAAGCTCAAAAAGTTCTGTACCGATCGAGTTCAAAAAGGCCAATAGCGAATTCTTATTTGACTATTATTTGAGCGTTTTAATATGCCATTCATAGGAAACTCATTCTAGTAAATACCTACGTTTTTTTAAACTATCGTCTAAGTCAGTAAGACCCGAAGAAAGAAAGAAAACTATTTTAAGCTTTTTTGATTATTTTAATTTTCTATCAGTTCAATGTTACTTTTTTACAGCCATCCTTTCAAAAGGTGATTTAATGTTACACATATGCAACTACTTACTAGAAGCATATATTTACTTCCAAAGACTACCAAGTGGTGGTGTATGATAACATTCATCAGTGAATGACCGAAATCGTCATGAAAATAATAAATAACTGTCATTCACGAGCTAGCATGGTGGCTGTTAACATACACTAGTGTGTCTTAAAAACATTGAGCTTTAAACATTCACAGTAACATATACATTATATTGATTCATACTAACATTAAGAACTGAAGTTATCAATGTATGTACTTGTATTTCTACAATACTGGCTCACTCTACAGATAATGTCCTGCCTGCCCAACGAAGTCAGAATTTAAAAATAAAACGTGACCCTCGACAATTACCCCACCTACCCGTACTAATTATGGTGCTAAGAACCATCCACCTAGATGCTTGGTACAAAAACAATTTATTTTGGTATATATGTTATTTGTTCATGTTGACCATGAAAAAAGTAAATACTGTGTGGTTTTTACAGAGTTACAGAATGTAGTTACAGAGAATTGATGATGATGTTTCGTGCTGTACATGTAAACAAACGAATGCGTTATTTTATTATTATTATTTACAATTAATCAAAAAAGTTATAATATATTTTAAAAGCAAGTGGTACATTCCAGACATAAAAATAAAGGCGTGGCAAAAATATTATTGATGTACTGTTGATGTTTCACGCATGTCATATTGACCGTACCGTAAACCAAAGGTTTAATAAATAATGGAGCGATAAAATAGGCTTGTAAATATTAAATATCTCCAATACACATTTACCGTATTGTCATATAGTCTATTACCAATTGAAATAATATTGTTTTATTGACAAAATGTCATCAATTTTATTATAATACTACTGTGGTAAGTGCCATTCTGAACATATATGTACATTGTCTACAATTTATCCTTGTTTATACTCAAACAACACAAGTGAAATTATAAAAATAAGAATGATATAAGGTCGTTATTTCCTCTATTTTTGTTCCTTTTTATTTATTACAACAACATAGTTATAACAACATAGTTATATGTTTATGTTTAATTAAACCATTTTTTTAAAATTATTATTGTAAAAATCACAGAAAATGAGTATATTTTTAGCTAAGGTTACAGATAAGTAGGTAAATTGCTTGACCAATGGGAGACGAATATCGTTCACGCTATAAACTGACGCAACACGCAACGTGTTCTTTGAGTCCGAAACGAGAGTGATCACTATCCCTTTTCTAATTTCCTACTTATGCCCTAGGTTTCTTTCTATAAATAACATTACTGCATCACAGAATGAGATGAAGATTGTGTAGGTATTCAAGGTAAATACGAGCTTGGTAGGTAACCATTAGTCTACAACTAATAATTATATTTATTTTTGTAATTTTCGTTAAACAATAACAAACAATGTTTGCTGTTTTTATGCAAAAATGTTTTAATGATAAAATCTTAGTCTTGACCCCAAAATAAAAAACAATTAGGTACTAATTGTGTGAAAAAGATATAAAAAGGTTGCATATTTAATGAGACAGGCCATACAAAGTTTTATAACAGAGGACTATTAGTAGTAAAAAATCTAATCTAAGGTGACGTAAACACTGGCCCCTGTGAACGCATAGTACGAGTAGTGAAATATTCACAAGGAACTAAAGCATACTTGTCAATATTATAATCCATTATAATCTATTCTAATTAAGTACGTACAAATAGTTGTGGAATTGTTTACTTTTGGAAATAAAAATAAGATCTGCTGGTACTACCAGAGAAAATATTAACATTACATCAGTAATTTTGTGATTTTCCTCAGTAGCTAGGTGTAATCATACGTAACCAGCATAGTTGTTTATAGGTTACTTTAACACAAGATATTAATTTCACTGTTAATTTACCTTAACAATTAACCTTGTTACTAAGAAACAACATTATTTTTTATTTCCTGGTTTATCTAACTATTTTATATTTTTTAAGTAATTTTCAAGTTCTTTTTGGCGGGAAGACAACGTGGCCAGCACATAACAATGAACGAAATCCTTATTTGTCCTATATCTCGTATCGTATTGTAATGATAATCCTGTATAATATTTAATCGACGCTTATAATTGTGTATACTGAATCGTACTATTTGATAGGATAACGGATTGGTTGGTTAATCTCTAAATAGTGCTCAAAACCAGTTACCTATCACCCATGCACAATTATATATGTCAACTCAATAACACTGTATATAAAAGAATTACTTATCGAACTAATATTGATGATGACATCGATAACTATTATTAGAGAAAAATTATGAGACTCCAAGTTTTAACTACACTTGACACTCAATCAACAGGGACACTTAATTATTTTGTGCCGCATTATTTAATGCACTTCCTACAATTTAAGCACAGATTTAGATGCTATGCTCTGTGCTTTAATTTTTTAATATTTCATTCACTCACTACATTCATTAATGTGGGTATTCAGAGTTTTTCTTTTTTACTACTGGCTTCTGATTCGTCCTTTGTATTGATTTAATTATGCACGTCTATAAGTAAAAAAAACATGCGCATGATATTCGTAAAAAAATAAATGAAAAAACAGTTAAGTGTTGCAGGGGCTAAAAGGAAGATCGAGTGATGGCAACGAAATGTGATAAAACTTGACAGTAAGCATTATTAATAAAGAATTTGTGAAAACTTGTTATCTGGGTCACTGGAACGAACACACACAATAAGCTGTGGGAATAGAACATGTTTAACGAGTTAAATATGTACAGTCTTTCGACGAGCTTAAGAAAACTTCTAACTGTATCCTTCCTCACAAAAGGGGATAAAAACGTGGGAATCTTTTAAAAATTAGTGCACGAGTAATGGAGGGATAAGGACTAAGGACCCATTCATTTTTTACTCTCATATGTCGATTTTTTCCTTTAAACTTAGGAGTTTGCTGTGCACTGCAGAGCATGGTAAAAGTCCGACATAACCACCAGTGGGTGGTATCAGAGGGGATGCCCGCACAAAAAAATAGGGTAAAAGAAAAATCTTTTAACTTGCTTTGCACTGCAAGCTCCGAAATCAGACATCCTGGTAAAAACCAGGTTGTCCTGAACCTGACCATTACTGAATGCTACGTTATGATTATATCAATTTCTAAATTATTTTTATGATTAATTACTTTTCGCGGTGTCATCATTTTTGTCGGAATATGGGTTCAGAGGACGGGCACAACTAACACATTCATAGACACGTATTAATATTTGTCGTTGCGCATGTTTAGTAATTACCAATAAAATTTAGTCCAGATGTGCGATTGTACTACTAATCTACTTAATAAGTAGATACGTGTTACAATATACTTATAAGCACTCTTCACATCTGGGTGTTAGTTTGGTAGAGTAACGTAATATAGTCTTTATCACCGTCGAGTAAGGTATCTGCTTGATGTCACGTCTGTCTCGTGCCATATTGTTAAAATAAGACACATGAGAAAAAAGGAGAGGCGAGACATCTGTTAATAATAAGAGCCATTATCTCATCATTCAACACGCACAACTTCAATTGCCAGCTCACAACAGGCACCATTCGTATTATGTACTTAGGTGTAGTGACACATAGAATATACTTGCTACCTTGGTATTAAAATCCCTAATATTTTTTACGGTCCGTATGGTCACGAATTTAGAATACAGTGTCACCACCACTATTCATCCAGTGTGTATTGTAAGCTGACTAAGGGAGCAAACTCTGCAGGGCAAGACAACAGCACTGCAAAGAGAAGGAAATCTTGAAACAAACCCTATACCAACCCGTTTAGTCAGCGTGGTATTGTCAGGTCAAAACTTCCTTCTAAGGAGAGGCTTATGTCCAGCAGTGAACTCGTTTTCAAAAGCTTTTAATTGTGTGATATTTTCACATTGATACCAATGATAGGAATCTAAAACTTGATTAAGTATGGTAAGTACGTCATTGTGTTTAAGTATTCTGAAAACAAGTAATCTCTAGACTATTTACGGAGTTGTATTTCAAGTTCCCCAATGATCTGACAATCTGCATAGCGACTCCAGAACTAAAAAAGAAATACTCACGATAAGCACACAGGTAGCTAGATATATTTGACATCTGCCGGGTTTAAAACGCGCGTGTGACTGTAACTAATAACGTGAACGTGTCTGGCCAATGCCTACAGGCATACTTTAAATTCAATGACTCAAATTGAATAATGAATTGTAAATTAAGCATAATCAAATCACTGTACCATTTTGAGGTCGGCGTTTGCTGCCGCTTGTGCTCGATCAAACGGCTCGTGCGCAGACGATCCTTGATTCCCCATTGTGCAGGCCAAACTTTTGTCAGTGAAAAATCTTCCAAAAAGAAACACTCCACTGGCGAACCACAAATTCACTAAATTTACAAAATCCACTTAAATTTACATTATAACTGTTGACATTCCAATAAACGCATCCATACAATGATGCTAAACGAATATTTCGACATTTCATTCATGAACATTGAACACGCTGCCTAATGTAAGAGTATTGTCCTCCTCTGATAAATGTTCTATCCGCTACACAGAAAGATAATAATTTCGACGATGTTGAAACTTGACAAACATGGCAAAGCCCCGAATAAATAGTTTAGGACTGCGGAATGCTACAACCTTGACGACAGTCGCATAAAAACATTGTGTATTTACACTGGTGCCTCATTAATCACTTCACGTAAAACTAATTTAAGTACAAATCAAACACCTGTTACAAGTTATCGCGAGGAATCTTGTAAACTTTCGATATATCTAATCATATAAGATGCGGTAGTGACGACAACAGGAGTCGTGTGAATTCGTTAACAATAATTTTTAAAAACGGGGGTCAACTTTTCCCACAAACGATGAATAAACGCAGAGAGGCGCATTGAACCCGGTACCCGGTCGGCGCGGGGAGCGAGGTAACGTAGGTAGCTGGGAACGACTGCCGATGCCAGCTGAACGTTATTTTTTCCCACAGCATTGTTCTTTAGACCGTAGCAAGTAACGATTTACCGAACTAATTCACTTTTTATTAACTTGCACAATCACCTACGCGGATTATCGTAAGCAGAAAACTGCATTTTGACTAGTAAATAAATTAAGGAATGTAGAAGGAATTCTAGGAAGACGCGCGCGCGCCGCGCATTAAGCGGCCAACTGTCGCACTGACTACTACTGACTGCTGTGGCACTGTGGGTCGCACCGCGTGCGGCGTGAATCGCACAAACCCTGCATCGGAGTCCCCGTCCCGTCCCTTACCTCCCCCCGCAGACGACCGGTCCTTTGCATTGTCAAGATTGACAACCGGTGAGATCATCATGCGAATAGCCAGTCTTTAATTCGTATTCGATAATTCCGTAATTCGTTCCATCAAAGGTCAATAAAACCATTTATAAAGTATGCAGAACTTTTCGAATAGATATTTTGATCAAATGAGTTCTGTTTTAAACATGAAACAAATGCAAGACGTTAAGTTGCCAATATCGCGTTCCAGTTTCCTCCAGGAGCACAAGCAGCACCAACAGCTGGATTGAAGCACGTGCGATTGGGACGGACGCAGGTGCAAAAGTTAGAGAGCTCAAATTATAAAAAGCGTAAACATATGGCTTCGAACGTAGTTCGAAATATTAAGAGAGTTAAATGCGTCTGCCGTCTGCACTATTTATATCTGTATAAACATCTGCAACAAAGTGGAAATTATTTTCTACACAGAGCTACGTGTTAATATGAACATCTTTGTTTACGACGTGAAATTAGGGCATACATTCTATAAAATAAACACATGGATACCGTAACCAACGAATTTAAACATGATACATATTTTTATAAAACAACCTAAATATCTGAGCCAAGGTGATTTCCTCTTAAATTATTCGTCAGTATGACTGTCTGATACTACCGCTTTAACGAAACGTATTGAAAGTTCAAATTACCATTTGTACCTGACTCATGCAACTCTGAATCATTGCATTCCAGTGTCTGAACAGATCCAAGACTCAAATTACACCACGACACCGACACCACGCGTTATCATAACAATCAGTACCCAAATTGTGTGACAGGTCTATAGTATTTTGTTTAAACTAATAATTTAAAATGACTTAAGAGTTTTCTGGTCTCCATTCCAATGAATCATCGTTATTACTGTAGTTGTTGAAATAATTCGAAGGGATGAACAACGCGTAATACACACGCAAGAGAAAAATAAAGAATTAATAAGTACAATATTCGAGGCCTGAGTGATGCAACAATTTAAAACTAACAAAGATTAAAAGGCGAGTTACTAAATAACACACAAATGGAAAAAAAACTAACCCATAAAGCCGCCATGATGACTTTAAAGAAAAACAGTTTAGGCAACTATACGTTACCGTTGCATAATTTTCTGTAACTTCAATAAGAAAAATCATTTTATCGTAAAAATGTGTGGTGCTAAATCTCAATCGGAAAAAGCCGTTAATCCTGTAGATCCTGATCAGGATAATCGTCCGCCGCACGATCTTTTGAGGCGGCGAGGCTCCTGCCCGGAACTCCACCATGGGACCTAGAGGCTCTGTATCAGTGGCGCAAGGAGGCGCGGCAATTGGGTCGGAGTCCTGAGATTCGAGAAATCGAGGACCAGAAATCCCAACTCGCCCTTGTTCTCGTAGATGAGTGGAAGGAACCGACCGAACCGACTTGCGCAACCGAGCGCCAGGTACGCACGTACATAAGACCCGTTATGGAGGATTGGCACGAGAGGCATCACGGAAGCCCTTTCATACCGGTTGACGCAGGTGTTCACCGGTAAAAAATGTTTCGGAGATCACCTGTGTCTGATCCGCAAGGAGCCAACGCCTGAGTGCCACCACAGCGATGGCCGGACCGTGGACACGGCGCTCCACACGCTGGCAGAATGCAAGGCGTGGGTGGAGCAAAGGCATGACCTCGTGGCGGCCGTCGGGGTGGGAGTTCTCTCGCTCGGTAACATGATTGCAGCTGTGGTGCGGAGCGTCAGTGCGTGGAACTCCGCCGTCTCCTTCTGCGAGCAAGTTATGCTTGCGAAGGAGATAGCGGAGCAGGACCGGGAGAGGTTTAGAACTCTCCCAGCCCGCCAGGCTCGGGCACAGGCTAGGTACTGCAGGCGGCTCAGGCGCCGGACGTCGCAGAACGACCTCCGTCCTCCATAAGTGCAGACCTGGGGGTGACAGGTGAGACCATCTGTCACCCTAGCAGAAGCGGGCCGGGGTGGTGGTGGAGCACCGAGGGAACATGGGGGTTCTCACACAGGAGGGGGTTAAAAATAACTCTTGTTTTAACAACCGAATCTTTAGAGTCGGATAGTTTCGCATTACACCGCAACCTTTGTATATCTATATAATTCGTGTAATTTAGACACGGCTTGTCGGAAACGGAGAGAAGTAATACGTGCCACGTGCCTGAGGGAATGAAATGCTGCGCAAATATATAAACTACTATTTGTAGGCATAAAAAAATAAAGATGTATTGTTCGATTAAAAAAAAAAGCATATGCGAGACTCACCCTACGTCCAAGACAGTTCAGAACTGAAATAAAACGTGAATACTATGTATGACAGAAAAATATATTATGCAGTTTTCTTGACTAAGCTTTTACAACCGGTGTGGGAAAACCAACAGTTGACACTTTCTTTTTTAGCTTTCTCCGAGAGATTTAAAGTAAGAGATATTATTTCAAAATACCAGTGACTTATCATAAACAGTGGCAATACTTGATTATAAAGCAGATTTCAGAGTTATTAATAAGCTATAGATAATATTGCCAATTATTATTCATTTTGATTGATTACTAGGAGAGTGAAGTCATTGTTTAAATTAAATAAATTGCTTAAATTATTAATTTCAATAGTCTATAACTTAGGTCTAGTTAAAGATGTTCTGTTTATGAATCTGAAGTAATGTTGTGCTATTGATAGTGAGATAAGAATCCATAAAAACGAGGAACTGAGTTTAATCACAAAGAACAAGGAAAACGTACTAAACAAATACGTGTCGTTTTTGCTAAACACTTGTAATGGTTTACGACTATTCCGTGACAATTGACGGTATAGTAAATGCATACATACGTAAATAAATACGTATCATACCGCTGTAACATGTATTACATTCGATAATTTAACCATAAAATGACTAAAACATATCTCTAATGAGTACAGTAAGCAGATATGCATGCATGCTATCGTATTTGGAGATACACATTATATGGACGTGTCATTCAACTCTCGAGACATTCTACAGGAAACCCTACTAACCCTATTTGTAGTTGCTTACCTACTCTGATATAATATTTGTTTTACGAGTACATAATGTATGTCTTTATAATTCATCGGTCACTGTCCTTTGTTTTTAAACACCATGTTTACTCATTAATAGCTAAGCTGTCCAACTATAGGCTTCTTAAACCGGCCGATTCGGATTCGACCCCGAGCAAACTTCCCTAATTTATTGCATTAAAAAAATATGAAATAACTATCACTTGCACTATCGTTGAAAAAAAACAACATCGTGACGAAATCTACACAGTTCTCCACAACGCTCGCTTATTATTTTTATGAAATTCAAATAGTACCGTAGACTTGTCCACCCCTCAGGGCTACTTGCCCTGAGGGGTGGACAAGTCTACACTTGCCGGATATAATAAATACTGCTTTGACTTGGCCATAGGATTTAGACGATAATAATTCAAAAACTGTGGCATCGTGAGTTATACAATCTTTAAGGCTTTTAAAATATTAACCTGATAAGTCATCGGCTGAAAACGAGGTGCACGGTGCACGATACCAGTAAAGAATAGGCGAGGACGCTGACATGGTTCCAGCGTCAGCTACCGTTAAATTACAGTGCATTCATTGTCTATTCAGCAATAATTTACGCCAACTGTTCCATTCTATTCACTTGGAGTACCGTTATGTGACACTAGGTATATTGACACCCGTGTAGTTCACGGTATAACCATGTAACCTATTTATTATACAGTAAAACCCGCTTAAGACGATTTCTCAGGGACCTTACCAAAAACGCGTCTTAAGCGAGAAAGCGTATTATGTGGGATAGGGAAAATAAAACGTACTACATATGTATTATTTTGTATTATGTTTTAATTTTGGTATATATAGGTATTAAATTATACATTTATAAATTACATTAAATACGTAGTGTAATTATAATTACGATATTTAAAAAATCACTTATTTTGTTTTGACAGAAAGATTTTGATGCATTAGTAATTTAAATATTTTCAACATAATTCAACTTTTGCAGTGAGTCTTCGCTTTGATCCAAAGAAGCTACATAGCGTCATAAATAATTAACAGCTGATAATGCCTGGGCGTTTGACAAAACCGGAGTTGACTCATCTTCGTCTTCATCATTATCACTTAGGGCCTCGTTTTGTGTGTTATTCACATTCTCAATAAGATCTTTAATTGATTGAATTTCATACGGTTCTCCATTGTCATCAATGTAAGAATATCCAGGAAAACCCTGCAGTATCTCGGGTTCTTCTTCTTCCAACACGACGTCAACCACGTTATTTCTGAAACCTGCTTTCTTGAAACAATTTTGAATGGTATTTTTCTTCAATTTCTTCTCTATTCTTTAAAATGGCACGTAACGTAGAAACTGTTAAAGTGAAGCTCAGCAGCTAACTGAGTTTGATTTGTTGTTTATGATTTTTTATCGAAAACTTTCAATATTTCAATTTTTTCTTGAAGTGACTGACGATCGGCAAACGTGCGGGCGGGGGGTCTTTCTGGGGGCTCGCAAGCGCTCGGTTAGACCTCTCGGCTCGGGCTCGGCGTATTAAACGGGATGACGAATCGTATTAAGCGTTAAGAAATGTGTGAAAATGTGTCTCAAGTTGCAGGGACTGGCGTAAAGTGACGTATTATGCGAGAAATCGTATTAAGCGTGATCGTCTTAAACGGGTTCTACTGTATTTACTGTTATATTTACACAAAAAATTATATTAGAATAACGACACAGTATAAACAATAAGAAAACAGAAGAACTTAATTCGATATGGCCAATTTTATTCTATAGCGTCGAAACCTTGATGTGTTAAGGTTTAACGAATGTTGAGAGAACAATGCATTTAAAAATCGTAGATAAAATCAGAGTACGCACGAGTACATTTAGTTAGGTGGTTTTAAACTAAAATTGTATACAAAACCGCAGTTATAGTCATTGACACATTTCTACGACTTTATAATAATCAGAGGCAGTCTTTTACACTACCCTACAGACATTAAGAAAAAACGAGGATAGCTCAGTGAAGCTGATTTAAGTAAAGTTTTAACGTGTGAAGGACGTTAAATAATTTTTAATTAAATAACGCGATCTCTGAAGTTTTCATTGCTCTAACTCACTTTACTTGGCAAGGCACTAAACATTTCGCTTAATTTATTAAATACATTTTTTTATGAAATCGTATTAGATTTTTCAGATTTTTTATCAAGCATTGGAAATTACCTTACTCAAGCAGGATACCTTTCTGTACATTAATTATGATTCGGATCTAATTAAGGTTTGGCCTAAGAACATTTTCCGGAACGAGCTCTTGTATTTGTATTACTGACATACATATCGACAGTCATAATTTGAAAAGCCTATATGTGATAAGTAAGAACGTCACCCAGACTGATCATATTTATTTTAAGAAGGCTTACAGACTATCATCAAAGCTTCAATATCTTTTTAGGAATAGAGACCAGTTTTGGCATTCTTCTAAGTTCAATTGATATGTGCAGTACCTACTTGTCTGCTTGTTGTACTTTCGGGTATTATTTTGCCGGCGAGGTAATGGTGGACAATTGCGATCTAACCGAATCCCTCTAATTAACATAGCAGAGTAGAGAAATTGAAACTATTTTATTTACAATAAATGTTTTATACGTAATACGCATTTGCTTACCTGTCTATACTATATTCGAAGTAGTTTATTATTACGAAGTATTTTTGGGTTTGTATATTTGATGATCTTATTTTAAGATATATTTTTTATTAACATTTAATTTTCATAGAAGCTACTTCTAGTAACTCCTCTTCAATTTTACTGATGTCAAAGTTACATTTTGTATATAAAATCAATAAGCACAACTATAAAATGTCATACATACATACCAGTTTCTATGGTGATCACTGTATCTTCACATACATAAAAAAACACGCTTCGAATTAAAAGTCTCCTCCATTTTGTTTTCGTACGTATAAGACAAAAAAGTCGTTATGTTTCAAGGTGAACAATACTGGATTGAGTGTGATTTGCAAATAGTCATCATGAGCGAGGTTTGAGGCTTGATAATATAACATATTATGTAAATTTAATTAAATTAGTTTTACAACAAAAACGCGGAAAACGTTTATCACAATGGTTAATCCACGAATATATTGTGACAAAAATGAAGAAGGACAATTTTAAAATGAATGGCTAAATAATACAAAGCAACGGTTTTTCTAAACATGGCGATGAACATATTGGTCGATAGAATATATATTTTTATTACATATAACGGACATAGTACTATCTCCGGCCAAGGTTGTCAATAGAAATCTAGTATGCATACTAAGCCATGCAAGCTCATTCTGGTCTACTTGAAGAGTCGGTTAATTCCTACAGCATTGTGATCACGTTTGTGACACAACGGATGTCACAAACATGTGACTTGTTTGCAAATGTGGTTGTTGGGACGCCGTAAGAACACCAGTATGCGAGTGCCTTTCCGATTGAACGGATATATTTCAAGTGATAAACCGCTTACAATCTTGTTTATACACACATTCATAAATACCTTACCAATCCACTGATTCCTCAGAAACATAAGTGAACCAGTTTTGTGCTTATTTGTAGCTTTGTATTAAAAAACAACATCGTAGTGATTTTATTCAAGTGAAACTTGGTACATATCCATAAAAAATAATTTGTTTTGACCTTTAAAATATTGAACGTCAAAACGGCGCAATACGGAGCCGAAGCTATGACAGCATGGACGATGTTCAGTTGGCGCAGATTGTACAGTAATGGAAGAACGGCTGACTGTGTTGAAGATAATCACGTAGAGTTGCCTGCTGATACGAGGCAGCTAGTGTACAATGTTTACGTCTACTTTAGTAGAAGGCCAGGGAGGAGTGCCAAGGCAGCACTCTCTAAAACAGCGAGTGCCACAATGATACCAAGGGACATTGTTGCCGAAATCGTAAGAGATAAATATCGAGAATGATGCAATTATTACAAATAATATAGTGTTCTTTTCTAATTATTTCATCACTACCGTGGATTTATAACTTCGTTTTGCAAAACATTCTGCATTTATAGATCGTGAAGTTAGATGGTATATACAATGGTCTTACTTTATGTTAGTTATATGTGTGAATATTTTGTCATAATTTATATGCATAATATATTTCAAGAACTCTTTATGATAAGAAATTTCGTGACTGTCAACTGGCAACATAATCTTGACTTTGTTCATTCGTTTATTTTCCTTCTGACAGGTTGATCTATTTAATTAGTGACGGTGATAAACTGACATGCCACCGATTACAAATAAGAGAAAAGATTATAATAAATTATTTCATCTGAATTATTAAACGTAAAATCTTAGAGTATAACATAAATTATTGTTCTCTGTTATCAATTTCATGTTATTATTTTTTAAATATCTTCAAATCAACATTGAAAATATATGATCCAACTACATAATTCATACAAGAATGTACCGCGTCCTTCGTACCGAAGTTTAATAAAACCATACTGATTGGACTTGACAGTCATCTACCTCACATTCAATAAGTATGGAGGCTTGTATGAAGCTAACTATGAAGGCTTCTATACTGTTTCTGAAAAAAATAATATAGATATGTAAATATGCAGTACAAACATGACATGTGTTCACATCACTATGTAGACTCAGATCAAATTAATAGTTATCTAAGATTGAACTTTGCGAAGAACGAAGTGAACGAAGCTTGGGTTTTATGAACATGTGAGCGTGGACCGGTGCTGCCATTACAATTTTGTTGAAAATATTGTTTTCTTACTTATGTGTGAAATGCGTATATTCAAAATAATTTGAATTTCCATCCTACTATCTATCTATCTCTTTTAGTTTAAATTTTACACCCTTTTACAACACAATTGGTATTTTTACTTGTAAATATTGTTGCAATTTTTGTTTTAACAATGCGTAGTTTCCTTGTACCTGTGTGCGTTTATTGTATACAGGCCAAGGGGTAGTTTTAATTGGCCTTACTCCTTTTTTCACATAGTACCATCCAACCTTTCTATTGCGTAAAACATAAATCAGTTGTTTTGTAAAAATACTGCTACAACATTATCTATAAGGACCCGTCCGTACAGCAATTTTTTACCGCAAGCTTTTGGCAATAAATCGCCACCGTATCGCGTTCAATTTGCATCAAATCACAGTTTTTTTTTGGTGTGGATAGTCTTATATACTCGTATATCCCATGTGTTACAGAATTTTGCGAAAAAAAAACGAGCGGTGAAATATCGCTGTGCGGACGGGCCCTAAATCACAATGATAATATTATACGTATGATTTTCTTATGGTATACGGACCAAACGAGCCGATGGTTCACCTGTTGTTAAGTGACTATCACCGCCCATGGACACCTGCAACTCACGAGTCACAAGTGCGTTGCCTCTTTGAGACCCACCCCCAGAATCTGAGAGGTTTTAGCTCCAGTAACCTCACGCACTAACTCACCCGATGAGAAGCAACGAAATAATTGTTTAAAGTCGGTGTCCGTGAAGACGTGGTATCATCACTTCGCTCCGATCGAGCCAGCCAATTTACACCTAGGTACATATGTATATTTAAAATTACCCTGACTTGATTATTAGTTTAATTTTTCGAACTCTGGCAACAACAAGCAATTGTTGAACAGAAAATAAAGAATGAATAACAGAGTATGAATATTTATATGAGTACACTGTGCTATAGGTATCTTCATAATGTTAATGATATACTATGTAAGTGAACATAGCTCTTGCATAACAATCATAAAACAATGCAGTTACAGCAGCTTTGTTTTGTATTAAGAAACGACAACATAAAATTTATTTTTGATTTATACTTTAGCTCTTCATATATTACTTATTTAAAAAATATTTAGAAATTCTGTGATGATTCAACTCAAAGATTTCTGTAAGGTGCATTTAGATTGTGAAGGATTTTTGACAGTTGACGAGAACTTCTACTTTATTACCTCGTATCTTCCAAGTGGCTGGATGGATTTAGACAGCCAAGGTATTTTTTTATCCGTCTCTAAAACCCAAGTGTCCTTAAATGGCTTTTTTTAAAGAAAAACATGAGCCGTGTTTGTTTTGGACCTTATGCTGTTTCGGTATTTTTAGTGCATTACTTTTCAATGGTCTTTTTGAGTCTAACCGTTTTTTATTACTATTACTTGTTTATACAAATGTTTCATAAATACCCTTGAGCATATTCGACACAGCAACTTCGGGTACCGTACATTTAACACTTTCGTAGTTGTACTCCGTAAAATTATTATCATTCGAAGTGGAAATAAGTCGTTTTAATAACCATATATAGTCATATTGTATAGGATAGATCTTGTTACCATCGAACAAAACAGTGAATAAACATTTGAACAGTGAGTTTTTCTATAATTCAACTAAAACATTTGAAGTGAACAGTAAGCCACCGACATTATAAGTGAACGCTGAGTGATTCGCTAAAACGCGTAAGTGACGGCAAATACACGGCGCTTACGTCGTTCTTCTCGCGACCTCGCACCGACCGCCCGGACTTCGCTTGATCGCTGACGGTAACAACATATTTACAAAAATTATAATTCTGATATTCAATAAAACTACAAAATGCCGAGAGTCGAACGCTCGCCACCAGCTACTCCTACAAAAGGCAAACAGCTGGCGCTTTCTACCCCTGATATATCAGATCACGCCAGTGGAGCAGCGAGGAGTAAGCGTCTGCGCCCAGACTTCTCACCCGACACTGACTGGACTGTAGCCTTTGAAAATCGTATTATGAAACTACTTAGCTCGTGGAAGATGGAACAAGATATTGTATTGCAAAAATTAACATCAGACATCGCTGAGGTGAAGCAACAAAACATCGAGATACGGAACACAAATAACGATATAGAAAAATCTATTGAGTTTATAAACAATGGTTATGAAAGCATGAGGCAGCTAATAGAACGGTTGGAGAGGGAGCGAATGGAGCAACGTGAGTATATTATAACTCTGGAAAAGAAGATTGAAGATCTACAACAAAGTTCGCGCTCCTCAACTATAGAAATACGAAATGTCCCGCAGCGTGAGAAAGAGACCACCAGTGATATAACATCTATAGTACTGCAAACTTGTAAGGCTATCCGGACAACTGTAGCTTCCTCCGAACTGCGAGATGTTTACCGAGTGCCAGGGAAAAAAGGTTCTACTAGGCCCATAATCTGCGAATTTACATCTGTCAATTTAAAGCACCAGGTACTTGATGCTGTACGCACGTTCAATAAAGACCGTCCCCTTAATGAAAAACTTAATACTGAATGTGTCGGAATAGGTGGTCCCCGTGGCCCTATTTTTGTCGCCGAACACCTGCTTGGAACTCAAAGACAGTTATTCTACGAAGCACGTAACTTCGCTAGAAATAATAATTACAAGTTCTGCTGGACACGAAACGGTCGGTTATTTCTGCGGGAGAAAGAGGGTACTGAAGCTATACCAATCAAAACATCGTTATGCCTTAAGAAACTACTCAAACCACAGCGTGACTAATATCTCTGATTCTGTTCGGACTATTTTTGTTATTAACCTTTTGATACTTACAAATAGATTAATTAATTCACTTCTTACCTACAGGCCCGTTCTTAAAACTATACGACTATACCACTACTACTGTCGTCACCTCAATTCACACTATACAAATAAACAATTACATTTAAATCAACCTCATAAATTTCACACCATACATATTTCATTAATTATTTATCCACACAAAATACATATTTACAAAAAAATTACAAGAATGGAAAATTGGAACATATGCTTGCTATATACAGACGGCTACTGGGTGATATTGGAAGGACTAACACTACTTGGGTCACTTGCTTGGCACATTCTCTACGTGATTTTAAATCGCTATAATGCTTGATTTAAATCCTTTATCTGATGAAATTGATATTTTTGGGGCATCTGAGTCTTTCAAATGTAAAGCAGAACAATGCGTAGATATATTAAACAGCAGCCATAATTCAATAAAAATATTACACATCAACATACGCAGCGTGAATCAAAACTTTGATGAGCTTTTAGTTTTTCTGCATACGATAAAAGCACGCCCGGATATAATAGTCCTATCCGAGTGTTGGCTTAGTAAAGTTTCGAATATGCCAAAAATTGAAGGCTATGTAACATATAACACAAATAATAACCAGAATCAAAATGCCGGCCTTATTCTCTTTGTTACATCAACTCTTTTACACACCATTACTGAACCATCCGTACATGGCTCAAATTGCTTAATATGTGAAATAGAACCAGCGAAACTGGTTATAGTTGCTTTATATCGCTCTCCCTGTTCCCGTTCTGTTGATGCTTTTCTCGACTCTCTTAACAACACCCTTACATCCGTGTCTGGTTATGAAAATATTCTCCTTATAGGAGATATTAATATAAATATCATGCCCACAAAAATAAATCAACAAGCTAGTGCGTACCTAAATCTTACAGCCTCGCATGGTCTATTGCCGACGCATAATTACCCTACGCGAGAGAATAACTGCCTTGATCACACCCTATTAAAATCGCATCTAAAACCAGTAACACTAATCTTTGATACCTGTATAACTGATCACTACCCTATTCTTATACAACTTGAGCCTAAAATAAACAAATTTAGAAGCCATGGACTATACACAAAGGTGGACTTTACAACAGTTTATGAGGTTATCTCTAATACTGATTTTGGACCAGTCATGGCCACATTTGACCCTAACTTAGCTGCAGATAATTTTGTGACAATTATTAGATCAGTGATCAATACACATACTGTAACAAAGCACGTCCCTTCCAAACATAGAAAATTCAAACCGTGGATAACTATAGGACTGTTACGCTGTATCCGAAATCGGGACTCAATGTGTCGAAAGTTAAAAAATGACCCCGAAAATTTATACCTTAAACTGACTTACCTACGATATCGTAACTTCT